CTTCCCATCTCCTCTAGGACTTTGTTCCTCAAATTCTCCCTTTATTCTCTTTTATCTTCAATCTGTTCTTTGTTGGCTTCTTCCTTTTAACATCCAGCCATGCCTGGGGCTCCTCATCTTAAAAAGGCCTACATTTGATCCTGCCAGACTGCCCTCAGAAAGCTCACCCTTTGTAAAGACATTTTTCCCACTGTTTTGACAAACTGCATTCTTAAAACTCTTATCCTTAGCCCAGGTTCTGTCCTCACAAGCAGCACAGAACACACCTTGTCTCCAGGAAGGTATAGCTTGTGAGGGAAAAGAACAATGAATTTGGAAGTGCAGAATTCCCGGTTCAAGTACCGTCTTGGCCACTAACGAGCTGTGTGACCTTGAACAAGTCAGTTCTCTCAGAGCCTCAGTTTCTCCCTTTGTAAAAGCAGAGCGTTGAAGTGATTTCTAATGTCCCTTCCAGCTTTAATGTTCAAGGAGTCTGATAATGCGTGATAGCCCCTTCAGGTGTCTGAAAATATTGTCATGTCTCCCCTTAAAACCTCCCACCCTGCAGGACAGTTGTGGGATGAACCAGGAGTCACTAATTAAAATTCTTTGCTAAGATGAAGGACCACCAGGCTTTACCAGTTTCCCTTCTCCTGTACCCTCTAGACCCCTGGGTACTGCCATCTAACCTACCACTGTTCCCTGAGGACCCCTAGGTCTTTACATCACCTCAGTAATGCACCCTTAGGACTCAGGGGCTTTTCTAGCTATCCTGCAAATGATCTCCTCCCAAGCTTGTTGTCTCCTTTAAGAGTATACAGCCCCTTATGATCAATGACTGTCTCACTTTTCTGTTTGTATCTACCATGCTTGCCACATTCTAAGTGCTTAATAAATGCTTTTTCATTCAATCACTCATTCCAAGATAAATATTCCTGGTTTTCTGACCCCTCACCATGGTTATCATCTTCTGTTCAATTCAATAGTTGGGTGTCAAAATATATCTAGGGAAGTAGGAAGGGAAGGCAATAAGAAAAGGCAAAGGGAGGCGGATTGGGGGAGGTGGTGGTCAGAAGCAAAACACTTTTGAGGAGGGACAGAGTGAAAGGAGAAAGAGAGAGAAGGATAAACAGGGGGGAAATAGGGTGGAGGGAAATACACAGTAATCAAAATAATGAATGTGATGGGATGAATGGGATGAACTTACCTGCAAAGCAAGCAAATAGAGTGGATTAAAAACTAGAATCTTACAATATGTTGTTTACAAGAAACATACTTGAAGTAGAGAGTAAAGGTAAGGGGAAGCAGAATCTATTATGCTTCAGTTGAAGTTTAAAAAGCAGGGGTAGCCATCATGATTTCAGACAAAGCAAAAAATAGATCTAATTAAAAGAGATAAGGAAGGGAACTACATCTTGCTAAAAGGTACCATAGATAATGAAGTAATATCGATAACTAAACTTATATGCATCAAATGGTATAACGTCCATATTTTTGAAGGAGAAGTTAAATGAGTTACAGGAGGAAATAGTAAAACTATACTAGTGGGGGACCTCAACTTTTCCCTCTCAGAACTAGATAAATCTAACCACAAAATAAACAAGAAAGAAGTTAAGAATGTGAATAGAATTTTAGAAAAGTTAGATGTAAAAGCCCTCTGGGGAAAATTGAATGACATAGAAGGGAATAAACCTTTTCCTCAGCAGTACATGGCACCTACCCAAAAACTGACCATATATTAGGACAAAACAGTTAATGATGTCGTTGAAGAGGATGACCAACCTTGAATTCCTGGTATAAATCCCATCTGGTCATAGCATATGATTGATATATTTCTGTAATCTCCTTGCTAGTATTTTATTGAAAATTGTTGCATTGATATTCATCAGGGAGATTGGTTTATAGTTTTCTTTCTCTGTTTTCACTATTTTATTGATGTAAGCATTTGGAAATATAAATTTTTTCCCATGAATTTTACTATGTTGTCTCATTGTTATCATTCTCTTTAATGAAATTATTGCTTCTATAATTTGTCCTTTGACCCACTCATTCTTTAAGATTAGATTATTTAGTTTCCAATTAATTTTTAATTTATGTTTCCACAACCCTTTATTGAATATAATTTTTATTGCATTATGATCTGAAAATGATGCATTTACTATTTCTGCTTTTCAGCATTTGGTTGTGAGATTTTAATGCTCTAATCCATGGTCAATTTTTGTGTAGTTATGTTTAGTGTTGATATTACTTCATTGTCTATTGTACCTTTTAGCAAAATATAGTTTCCCTGCTTATCTCTTTTAATTAGATTTATTTTTGCTTTTGCTTTGTCTGAAATCATGATTGCTGCCACTGCCTCACTCAGCCTGCCTCCTCTCAGCACACCATCACCTCATCTCTTATCTCCTTCCTCTTGTACTTCCCTGTAGGGTAAGATAGATTTCTGTACCCACTAAGTGTGGATGTTATTCCCTCTGTAAGCCAGTTCTCATGAGAGTAAGGTTCCAGTATTGCCTACCACGCCCACCTCTATATTACCCTTCACTGTAAAAGCTCTTTCATACCTCTTTTATGTGAAATAATTTACCCCATTCTACCTCTTCATTCCCTGTTCTCCCAGTATATCCCTCTTTCTCACCTCTTTATTTTTTTGGATATCATTCTGTCATAGTCAACTCATACCTGTGCCATCTATGTGTAGTCCTTCTAACTGCCCTGATAACTATTAATAAAGTTCTTAGGAGTTACAAGTATCATCTTCTTGTGTAGGAATGTGATCAGTTTAACCATATCAAGTCTCTTATTATTTCTCTTTTATGTTTGCCTCTTTATGTTTCTCTTGAGCCTTGTATTTGAAAGTTAAATTTCCTATTCAGCTGTGGTCCATTTTTTTCCCCTGAAGGATTATACTCAGTTTTGCTGGGTAGATGATTCTTGGTTGTAATCTTAGCTCTTTTGTCCTCTGGAATATCATATTCCAAGCCCTCTGCTCCTTTAACATAGAAGCTGCCACATTTTGTGTGATCCTGATTATGACTCCATAATATTAAAATTGTTCTTTTATGGATGCTTGCAATATTCTCTCCTTGACCTGGGAGCTCTAGAATTTGGCTATAATATTCCTGGGAGTTTTCCTCTGGGGATCTCTTTCAAGAGGTGATCAGTAGATTCTTTCAATTTCTATTTTACCTTGTAGTTATAGGATATCAGGACAGTTTTCCTTAATTTCTTGAAAGATGATGTCTAGGCTCTTTTTTTTTCAGTCATGGCTTTCAGGTGGTCCAGTAATTCTTAATTATCTCTCCTTTATCTGTTTTCCAGGTCAGTTGTTCTTCTGATGAGATAGTTTACATTTTCTTCTGTTTTTTCATTCTTTGCATTTTGTTTTATTTTTTCTTGATGTTTCATGGAGTCATTTGTTTCCACTTGCCCAATTCTAATGTTTAAAGAATTATTTTCTTCAATGAGCTTTTGTACCTTTTTTTCCATTTGGCCAATTCTACTTTCTGAGGAGTGCTTTTCTTCAGTGAATTTTTGTACGTTTTTTTCCATTTGGCCAATCCTGCTTTTTAAGGAGTTCTCTTTAGTGGATTTTTGCATCTCTTTTGCTATTTGGCCTATTCTGTTTTTTAAGGTATTATTTTCTTCAGTATTTTTTTGAGTCTAAATATCAAGCTATTGACTCCTTTTTCATTATTTTCTTGCATCACTCTCATTTCTTTTCCCGGTTTTTCCTCTGCCTCTTTTATTTGATTTTTTTAGCCCTTTTTGAGCTCTTCTTTGAGCTTCTTTTGAGCTTTTTCTTTGAGGTTTTGCTTTGATTCAACTGTCTTCTATTGAGTTTGTGTTTTGATTTTCCCTATCACCATAGTAACATAGGTCAGGTTTTTTTCCTGTTATTTGCTCATTTTTCCAGCTTATTTTTTTAACTTTTAAGTATATGTTAAAGTTGGATTCTGCTCCCAGGGTTGAGGGAACATTGTTCCAAGCTTCAGGTTTTTCATGCCACTGTTTTCAGAGCTAGCTCTGGGGGTCTGTGAGCTCTCAGTTCTTTCAGGATGATGTGATCTAAGGAGAGGTGTAGTCACTGCTCTCCTGGCCTGTGCTTGACCTGGAACTGCAACCCAGAAGTGTGTATGGGCAGTGCAACAGAGTCCTGTTTCCAGGGCATGTCCTGCAGTAGTCTGCACTCCACTCTCATCCTAGTGACACAAACCTTTCCTATTGACCTTACAAGTTGTCTTGTGGTGGAAGATTGTTTCACCCCATCCTTTTGTTGATTCTGTCACTCCAGAATTTGTTTTGAGACATTATTTTAACATTGTTCAGAGGGTAATTTGAGAGAGCTCCAGTGACCTGCCTTTACTCCACAATCTTGGCTCTGCCTCCTTCCATTTATTTTAAAATTCCTCTCAAATCCTTCTACCTTCCATGAATACCCTACCTGTCCCACAGAGTTGTGAGGATCAACAGTAACAATATCATTGGAAAACAGTTCTATTCCATCCATAAAGCCTTATAGAAATTTCAGGTTCCATTATCAGCAGAAACCGCCTTGATTTCCCCCATACTAAACTCATACTACCAGAACTATAGGGGATCTTAGAAATTTTCAATCCTACCCCATCATTTTTCATTATTCATTCAGAGGAGGAAATTAAATCCTCACACCACTTGTTATCTGGGCACATCCACAGGTATGTGCCAGTCATATGATACCTGTCACATTCTACCTCATATTCTAGTTATTTGTTTATGTATTTTGTTTCCTGTATTAGCTCCTGAAGGACAAACCTATTACAATGCTTTGTGTATAGGAGATGATCAGAAAATATTTACTTAAAAATTAAATGAATTTAGATAAATAAGTCCTTTTGGGGACATACTTGTGTGGAAGAGGTATGAACATACCCGAGACCATGATGTCTCAGGTTCTCCTTTGAGATCTTCCATAAAGATCTCAAAGCTAGGTGACAACTTTGTTTTATCACATGGATCACTCTTGTCTTTGTTTGTTCTAGGTTCACAACCAGTATCCAACAGAATTTGAATTCAATCAGTATTACTTAAAATTCCTGGCTTTCCATTATGTCTCCAATCGTTTTAAAACCTTTCTTCTGAACTCAGACCACGAGCGATTAGAGCATGGTATGTATCTGCATATAGTCCTTGCACCTCTGTCCATAGGTTTGTGTGTTTTTCTTGTGGTGAGACCAGGGGAGTTTTGTAGTGGGGCAGTTTGCCTTAAATTAGCCATATAAGACCTGGATTTTGAGCTCCACATAGTTCTTCTTCAAGGCAAATATTTTGTTCTTGAGAATGGGATAAAACTATCTCAAGCTAACAAATACAAAAGTAGGATTACTTTGCATTTCATTACATCAACTAATTTCATGTAACTGTTCATCACTGTACTTCAAGCAAGCCCATCTGTGATAAGAACATCCCTATGGTTTTTTACCTTGGAGAGGGAGGAGAAGAAACTGTCACAGGATGATTTTTTAATTTTATATTTAAGAAAAGGTTTCTGTAATTCACATTCTAATTCTTTGAAATTGTACTTAATGGGCTTCTTGTGGCTGCTGTTATTCTGAATCTAATTATTCTGAAAAATGTATTTTCTGTATATTAACATATGTCCAAAGATTCGTACTTGGGCGGCTTTTGTAGGAGGAAACAAAAAACCATTTATTGATAGTGTTGATTTGACTTAAGCTTAAGTTTAAGCAAAGATCTCCTTCACGGCCTGTTGGCTTCCTTAAAGACTCAGCTGAAATCCGCCCTGCTATGAGGAACCTTTCCTGCTCCCCCTCAATGCTAGTAGTACTTTCCCTCTGAGATTGCCTTTGACCTATGGTCTTATCCAGCACGAATTACAGCCCTCTTTCTGCCTTTAGAAATCATTTCATGAATAACTATGACCAAAAATAGTCACTCCTGCCTAGTGGCCAGAATTCTGGTGGTGAGCGTCTCTTCACTTCAAATGACAGCAAACAGTCTATTCCTGGGGCTCTCAATGGAGCCTTCGAGGTCACCTCCATGTCGCAAGTCACAACAGGAGAAGACGTTAGTAGAAGAACAAACAGTGTAAATTTAGATTACTTGTTTAATGTGCTGATGAGTGCCATCTTTTTTAAAATAATATTTTTTTTCCCAATTACATGTAAAGACAATTTCTAACACTCATTTTTTAAAATTTTGAGTTCTAAATTCTCTCCCTCCCTCCTCCCCTCCCTGAGACTATAAGCAATTTGCTATTGCTTATACATGTGCAGTCATGCAAAACATATTTCCATTTTAGTCATGTTGTGAAAGAAGACATAGACCCAGAAAAAAAAGACTCTATTTAACCAGAAATTGAGTGGTCCGTTACAAAGTTCCCACCCACATGTCCACCTTAAATTTTCACATCATGAACATAATCACAACATCATCATTTAGCATTCCCAAGTATAGCTATTGTAATGTCTGAGTAAAGCTGGTTACAGCACATGAGCTCCTCGTCTTTCCAAGAGAGATCTGAGTGGTTGTTTAAACTAGCTAAACTGGCCACTTGTTTTGGCAGCCTCCCCACTTGTCTTCCCTTCACAGCCCCTGCCCCACTTAGACCCTGTCAAGACTGCTAGTGAAGAAAAGCAAAATGGCTTGTTTACACAGTGTGGATAGGATAGGAGTCAGCTACTCCAGTCCTTGTGGTGAGGAGGCCTACCAGGCTGTATGTTCTGCCCTGCAGCTGTATCCTAAGATCTTCTGGGTCTTACCATCTGCCCTTTTCCTGCAGCCACCAGACCCCTAGGCACTTTAATTTGACCTCTTCATGCACCCTAAGGATTCCTGGGCCTTATCATCCTCCCTGCTACAGAACCCTTAGGACTTGTGGGCCTTTCTGGCACCTTTGATGCATTGCCTCTCTCAATTAGAATGGGAACACTTGAGCAGAGACTGTTTCTGTTTCTCCGTTTATCTCTCCAGAGCTTAGCATAGAGCTTGACATAGAGCTAGTGCTTAATGTTTTTTTCATTCGTTCATTTACTCTGTCATCATGAAACTATGGCACAGTACATTTCTTCGTTCACATTAAGTATTACTGTGACTGGTGAAGCCATTTGTGAAAACTTAGCACCATTTAAGAACCATGAAAAAATTTGTCATTTAAGAACATTCTGTTGTTTTTTTCTCTTAGGGTCATAGAGCCATAGGATGTCATACCTGGAAGGAACCTTTAGAGAGTGCTTAGTGTAAGCTGGGGAAATGGTCTCAGAGAACGGAGCTAACTTGCCCAAGTAAATCTAAGAGCTAGTGACACATGTGAGACTAGAACCGTATTTCTTATTTTAAATGTTTCTCTTTTTTCCATCTGTGTTACTTCCCATTATCTCACCCTGAACCCCAACAAAGGAGTCCTCCTCTGTAAGAAATAAAACAATAGTCAAGCAATATAAGTTATTGCATTGGCCATGTCTGAAAATGTATGCCTCATTTCACACCCCTAGTCCACCACCTCTCTGTCAAGAGGCAGGAGATATGCTTAATCATCAGCCTTCTGAAATCTTGATCCATCATAGAGTCAGGGTTCTGAAGTCTTTACATTTTTCCTTTACATATTGAGGTCATCATGTACATTGTTCTCATAGTTCTACTTATTTCACTCTTCTTAGAATTTCTTAACCTCCAGTGCATTACTCTTTCCACTGTACCATTACCTCCCTCAGTCCTGTTCCTAATGAGTTAAAAGGATAACCATATTTTAGGAATACCTGTAGTGAATCACTAACAATACATCATTTGAGGAATAACTTTGGCTCTCTGTGCTTGACCATTGTCAAGAATACAAGAGTCAGAATATGGAAATATGTTTTGCATGATTACACATATATAACCTATATCAAATTGCTTACCATCTTAGGGAGGAGAGAGAGGAAAGAGGGAGGGAGAACATTTTGGAATTCAAAATCTTATTTAAAAAATCAGTGTTGAAAATTGTCTTCATGCGTAATTAGAAAAAATAAAATACTATTTAAAAAAAGAATGTAACAGTCAGGGACCCCATCCACATAATTATATAATAGAATATTAAAGACTTGATCATACACTAACAGATGCCAGATGTGTGCCTTGGAAGATTTAACCCTACATGCCCAAACACTTTAAGTATTATTAAAGGTGTTGATAATGTAAAAGGGTGTGTGATCTAGCTGTGATTTGTTTTTCAAGTTTCCCAACTGGCCTTTTTTCATCTCACTCACCAACAACTACCAGCAAACATCATGTCCTGAAGGGGAGGAGCTCATGTTAGGGTATGAGAGGCAGGATATTGTGTTGTCAAATACAGCTCCAATCCTTTCCTCCAAAAGGTGACTGCAGCCAGTTTGGACTGATACTCTCCCACATGTAGTATGACATAGTGGGCAGGAACATTCCCTGTTTCTTTAACTGCATTAAGGCTAAATGGATGAACAAGTTCATTCGTCGTGGCTAAATGAAGTCCTGTCAATCATTGTGTATTTGGTGTAGCTTTCAGGTAATTGAGCGGAGCAGGAATTTTAAAACAAGCTTCAGCCACTCCTTTCTGATAAATGAATAAATAGTTGGTTGACATGAGTCATTTGAGCCATAGCATAGCAAGAAGTCACTCCTAGATGAGGCACCACTCTTAATTATCAAGGAACCAACATATCCGAAGAGACTCCTGGCTTTTGGTCCCATGTCTTCAGTCCAGTCTACCCCAGCCTGCCCAATCTACTTAGAGAATTATTCTAGGTAAAATGCAATAAGGGGTTGCAGCCCATTTTAATTCATTAAGAAATACAAAAGAGCTGCATGGAGCATGCTGAATTGATCTTACAAATATGTCTTTGATTATCACCTTTTTTTAAGTTTAGTGCTTCAGGATTGAAACCACACCTATTTTCTATCATATGAAATCACCGTGATCATTATTTAAGGCGTATATAAATGGTTAAACAATTAAGAAAACTCCTTAAAATGGTTTCATGTCTGACAAGTACAGACTGGGGAAAAAATTCTAATTATGTAGTGGGGTGCAGCACATGATTGCACATTATTCTGATTTTCAACAAAGGAAAAGAGTAGGGTTTGCATATTATAGGCCAATGAGCTGACTTCAATTCCTGGCAAACATCAAGGATGTAGTATTGGAGGAGTGGTGAACATCTAGAAAAGGGGACAGGGGTCAGAGAGATGACATGGCTCTCTAAATCACAGATCATGCCAGGCTAACCTTGTTTCCTTTTTTTTTTTTTTACAGGGGTACTAGACTGAAAGATCAGGGAACCACTTCAGATATAGTTTTAGTTTGCCTAGATTTTAGCAAAGCACCTGACAAAGGTTCTCATGCTAATGAACAAGATGGAATAAAGTAGACTAGACAATAGTACCATTTAGTAGATGTGGAATGGCTAGACTCAAAGAGCAGTCATTAAGGATCTGATTATCTGCTTGGAAAGAGGTCTCTCATGAAGTACTTCTGGAGTCTAGGGAAGCTGTGCATGCCTGAATTTCCCACTTGTTTGTAGTGTTCCCAGCTAAAATCTTGAGTGTACTGGCCAAGAATACTGTGCCATGATAGTCACTCATTGTCTCCTCTTTATACACTCTGGTTTAGTGACACTGGCCTTCTTACTGTTCTTTGAACAGAAGACTCAATGTCTCAAGCTCTGGGTACCTTCTCCAGGTCCTTCACACCTGGAATTCTCTCCCTTATTTCTTCTTCTTGGCTTCCTTCAAGTCTCAGTTAAAGTCCCACTTTCCACAAGAAGCCTCTCCTAGTCCTCCTTGATCCCTTTGAGACTACCTCAGTTTATCCCTTCTCATATCATCTCCCCACTGGACTGCAAGCATAGTTTCCCTTCAATAAGGGCAACCATTTTTGTTGTATCCTTTATGAGTTCAAAGTCTGACATATTTTGAAGTTAGTTCCTCACATGTAATGAACAAGCTTTATTGATTTTGCTAGGACTATATTTATCATACTATGTGTGTGAAGTAAAATTTATATTAAATTTATAAGTTTTCTTTTTTCTTCAATTCATATCAAATCAACAAGCATTTATTAAGCTCTTGCTATGGTGCCAGGCACAGTGCTAAGCACTAGGAATACAAAGGCAATAACAGGGGTCCCAGGCTTCAAGGGAATTACATTATAATGTACTTTATAAATACTTTGTACCTAGCAATTTTCATACTATAGTGACAGGGAAACTCAAGACACAAACACAGAAGAAGACAATGACTTGGAAACATCTGAAAGAAGAGCCTCAAGAAAAATGCAGAATGGACACAGGCCCAACAAAAATTCTTAGTAGACTTAAAGATATGAGTTTTTTTTAATAAAAGCAGAAAATGATTTTAAAAAAACAAGATCAGTAGAGGGAAAAAAATGGGAAAAGAAATGAGAGCTTTGCCAAAAAAAAAAGTATGAAAAGAGAATTAGAAGCTTTGTAAAATAGATTCAGAATATAACTTTAAAAAAAACCTCCTTAAAAATTAGAATTGGACAAATGGAAGCTAATTACCCCATGAGACATCAAGAAATAATAAAGTCAAAAGTCTGAAGAAGAAAAAAAAGAAGAAAAATGTGAAATCACAACAAAAATAGCATGATTATTTCAATAGATTAAGAAAAGGCTTTTGAGAAGATACAATAATTAGTCCTATTGAAAACACTAGAAATCACAGGAATAAACAGAACGTTCATTAAAATGATAAATAGTCTCTATCTAAAACAAAGAACAAGCATTATTTGTAACAGAGTAAAACTAGAACCCTTTCCAGTAAGATCAGGGGCAAAGCAAGGATGTCCATTACCACTATTACTATTCACTATTGTACCAGAAATGCTAGAAAAGAAAAATTGAAGGAATAAGCATTGAAAAGAAGGAACAAAACTATCACTTTCTGATGGTTTACCTAGACAACACAAAAGAGTCAACTAAAAAAAATTAGTTTAAACAATAACTTCATCAAAATTGCATCAAAAATCATCAGCATTTCTGTATATTACAAAGAAAATCAAGCAGGAAGAGGTAAAATGAGAAATTCCAATTAAAATAACTACAAACAATATAAAATACTAGGGAGTCTACCTGCCAAGACACACATAAGAACTATATGAACACAATTAGAAAACACTCATCACACAAATAAAGATAGATCTAAATAATTGGATGAATATTAATTGCTCATGAATATGTTGAGCCAATATAATTTAAAAAGACAATACTACTTAAATTTACTTATTCAATGCCATACTGATTAAACTACCAAAGAATTATTTTATACAGCTAAAAAAAAAAAGAAGAACATTCATCTGGAGGAACAAAAAGTCAAGAATATCAAGGGAATCAATGCTGAAAATGGGAAGGAAGGGAGCATAACTTTTCCAGATCTCAAGCCGTACTACAAAGCTATAATCATCAAAAGAATTTGGTACTAGCTAAGAAATAGAGGAGTTGATCAGTAGAACAGATTAGATACACAGTATACAAAAGCAAATGAACGCAGTAACCTCGTCTTTGATAAACCAAAGATTTCAGCTGTTGGGGCAAGAACTCACCCTTTGACAAAAACTTAGGAAACCTAGAAAGTAGTCTGGCAGAAAAATAGGCACAATCTAACATCTCTCCTCAATACAAAGATAAGCTCAAAATAGGCTTATAATTTAGACATAAAGGGTACTATCATAAGCAAATTAGTGGAGCAGAGAAGAAATTACCTGTCAGATCTATGGATATGGGAAGATTTTGTGATCCAACAAGAGAGGTTTGTAGGAGGTAACATGGATAATTTTGATTACACAAAATTAAAAAGTTTTCGCACAAACCAAACTAATGCAGCCAAAATTAGAAGAATAGCAGGAAACGGGGGAGGGGGGAAATCTTTGCAGTAAGTTTCTCTGATAAAAGTCTCATTTCTGAGATATATAGAGAACACAGTCAAATTTACAAGAATAAGAGCCATTCCCCAATGTTGAAAGAATTGGAGATGTTAACCTAGAGGAGAAAAGATTTAAAGACATGGTAATTATCTTCAAATATTGCAGGAACTGAATTATATTCCTTCTGCATGATCCCAAAGGGAAGAATTAGAAACACTAGGTAAAAGGTACAAGGAATTAGAACTTATCTCAAAATAGAATGGACTATTTTAGGAAGGTAGGAATATCCCACTCCAAACAAGGATTAGATGGCCACTTATCAGAAGCATTATAGAGGGAATTCTTGTTCGGGGTGGATTGGACCATGAACCTCTCAGGAGCCTTCCGGCTCTCAGACTTTTGAGTTTCTGTGAATGAGTGAATGAAAAAGCATTTATTTAGAGCATTTTGTGGGCCAAGCACAGTGCTAAGTGCTAGAGATACAAATGCAATAGCAATTGTAGTTCCTGCCCTCAAGAAGTTTATGTTCTAATGGGAAAGATAACACACGTGGGGCGGGAGCGGAGATGGTGACCAGTGGGACTTTGGTCTGGAAAGTTAAAGGGATGATGAGTAAGACCATAGTTGAGTAAACTGACATACCTCACCTAGGATCAGACAGAGTTGATTTGGTCATGGTTCCAGAAGGGGGTTTAGGTGTGTGATAGGTATATGCACATGTGGATATAGGACAAGGTGATTGGAGAGACAGCTTGGAAGCTGGCCAGAGAGTGAGGAGTGAGGTGAGGCATGCTGGGGCTTTGAGTGGTCCTGGGGAAGCAGTCACCAGTCAGAACAGTGGGGCCCAGGGCTGAAGTTCAGCCAAGCTGTGGTCCAGAGCCAATGTATTGTAGATTGAGAACTGGAAGGGTCCTTAGAGGTCGTTGAGTTTGACTACCCCATTTAAAAAGAAATTCACTTAATCTGTTTTCTCTCCCTCCCCCACTACCACCATTGGAAGATAAAAGAAAAACAAAGCCCATGTGATAAATATACACAGTCAAGCAAAACAAATTCCCAGATCATCTGTGTTCAAAGAATATCTATCTCAGTCTGTGCCCTAAGTCCATCACCTCTTTGTCGAGAAGTAGGTACCATGTTTCATCATCGGTCCTCTGCAATCATAATTGGGCATTTTGTTGATTAACATTCTTAAGACTTTGAGAGTTGTTTGTCTTTGTGGTCAATCCTCTTCATTTTACAGATATGAAAACTGAGGCCAGAGGAGTTAAATGACTTACCCAGGTCACATAGGTAGTAAGTGAGAGGCTGATCAAATCCTCCTTCAACAAATTCAGTGTTCTTTCCATCACATTCCATATTTTTTCTTATTCTCATTGATCTGTGAAAGCTGTCGTTTTCATTTCTATAAAATTCCCATGGTTTTAAGACCTGTGAGCATTTGCTGTGGTTTCTTTAAGTTAATTTTGTCAGCACTTAGCATAATGGCTGGCTCATAGTAGGCACTTAATAAATGTTTATTGATTGATTCCCTATTCCATTTAAAATATCCCTCCCTTTTCTGTTTAAATTTTTTTCTTACCTCACATTTTTGTCCTAGACTTCATTTTATCTAACTTTTATTTTTGTGTTGTTTTTAAGGAACACTATTTGAAGATAAAGGAGACAAGCATGCCAAAAAGGGAATTTGCATTTGGGAATGTATTGAGAGGATGCACAAGAGGAGTCCCATTTTTTTTAATTACTTATATGCACCAGTGGAAACAGAGGTACTCAGAAAAATCATTGTTGTTTGATTTTTTTTAACATTGCCCTGGAGTTAACGTTTTACTGAGTTTAATTAAAGTAGCATAAACTGATTATAATCTGTTTAGACTTTCAGAAAAGTTATATACCAAAGATACCTTGGGACCATTTGGGGTAGGGGATAAGGAGATTGTTTTGTCAGGGAAAGAACTTTCCTGATTTAGAAACAGGAGACAAAAAGTAGTTCCTCAAACAATAATGCCGGATCTGGTCTTATTGGGCTTTTTAATAAGTCATCTGAAAAAAAGACATGCTAAATGAAATCCTCCAAGTCTGTGAAATGTGAGAAGTAGGATAGATAAGCTTGGGGCAGATCTTAAGAAGATACATGGGGGAGATAAAAAGAGGCAGCTGAGCTTCAGTGTTTCTCAATGCAAAATAAAGGAGTAAGGGGAAAGTAAACCAAACTCCTCTACTGCAAGACAATATCTGAACTCTCCAAAGGGACCTAGGAGTCCTAAATGTCACGGACAAGGCTGAGGTATTACAACATAGGCCAGCCAGGTGTTGGACTTTCATCAAGCAGAGTAATCCTACACTGGTGCAGAATCGTGGCACGTCTGTCTCTGGAGTTATAAGGGTAGGCCTGGTAGCCTCTCCTCAAGAGAGAACATGAAACTAGAGATAGTTTGGAGAAAGACAGCTCCCTGATCAAGGGGCTGGAAGGGGATGGGGGGAAGGGACAGTCCTGTATGAAGTCAGACTAAAAAGATGATGAAGACACGTTGTTAAAAGGAGGAATTCTAGGAGGATTATGATTGAAGTCTGCAAAATGGTGAACATCCAGGATGAGTAGGATTTGGGCTGGCTCACTTGGTCCCAGAATACTGTCACTGGAAGAGTATGAAGCTTGAAAAGGGCAAGGTTAGGGTGTATAAAAGGAAGAAAAGGAAGTTTGCATGGCTGGAAGTAAACTGGTCAAATTCATTAGCCTTAGTCTAAATCAATTCTGAAGAGATTTCAGTGAAGTCATATAATAGCAGGGCTGTAATGGCTTATTAAGGGAAGCAAAGATGTTTGGAGCATATCCCTAGAACATGAGGCTGTCATTGAAGACGGTAGCCATATGCTTCTGCAGCACATGTCCCTCGTGCCTCTTGCAAAGATAGAAGAAGTCAGGGTCGAAAAGAATAACTCAAAGTGACAGTCCTCATGCTTAGGAATGATTTGTAAGGGAAAAACTAGATAAAGGTATCACTCTTTACCTTCACAAAGAGTTCTTTTGGCTCAACTCATGGGCAGTTCTAGATGTATGCTTTTAAATAAATTGCTTAGGAAAGTCAGGTCACCAGGATTGGTATTGAGAGTATTTCTGCCAAGGTGATGGTCAAAATATTCCATGTTAATTCCTGACACTTTCAAAAGAACGGTAACTTTACTACTTAAAGCAAACTGCCTCACTTCTTGGAGCCCAGCACGTAGGTATGGAGAGGGAAGATTCCCAATGTGTTGAAAAACGTTCAACCTTCAGGGTAATGGTGTGAATTGCAATGTTCCATTTAAACAGGTACTAAAGCCCAGTATAAATGTATCCAGCCTCAAGAAATGGGATTATTACATGGAAGAAACACTGTCCACGGGGCCTTCTTATGACTGGACAATACTAACTACAAAATCCACACCTTATGAAGACACAGACCAGGCAGATGGAAGCAGGTCACAGAGCCAGAGGAGATAGTGTGGCCATGCTATGATGATGTCAGTAAGGTGCAGCCGGATGCAATCACTAGCCTCTTCTGCGTAAGTCAGCACACTCAGAAAGTACCATTTCTTAAGTTGCCTTAAGACACAAGTGCCTGTTTCCTCCTCCAGATAGAAAGCTAGGAACTGCACTCAGTTAGAGCCTTGGGCTTAGGAGATTTTTTTCTGTGACCTTAGGAAGTCAGTGCAATTGACCTTGGATCTGGGTTTCTGTTGTTTTCATAAACAGATGTACACACTGCTCTTGTTACTCAATGACAGTACTGTAGGAAAGCCTCAAAGTATGCACAAGAAAACCAGTTTTGCTTAGAAACATTGTCATGGGAAAAAGTGGAACTGGCAAAGTTTGGTATCCTGATGTCACTGCTGTAGTTGAAATGAGCAAAATGGCTACATAGTTGGAACCCAGAAAGGCCAATTTTGTGGCATAATTATGAAATGTGTAAGGGTAATTGTTAATATCCCGAACAAGAACCCACCTTCCTTTGTAAGGAGAAAGGGTTGCAATATCCATGATAGCCAACTGCCTTGCACTGCAAGAATATTCCCAGATAAACTCAATCCCTACCAAGAAACATTTGGAAATAGAGTAAACTCCAGTTATATGACTGCCTGCCTCTCTGGGTGCTGTATCTGTTAACCCTATGCTGGGAGATTTCTAAGTTTGAAATCCAGACCAGTAAGACCAGCTTGCATGGGCAGGGCCAGATATCATCACCTCATACCTATGTAGGCATCTCTCAGTCTATCTTTCCCACTCTAGGTTTATTTCCTATAGGATTTGTTTTGCTGACTGTACCAGAGATACACCAAGACAGTCAGGTCCCAAGGCTCCACAGTGGTTTGGGAGGAGCATTTTCATCTTTTATTATCTAAGCCCTTTCATTCACTAAAAGGCTTTGTTTTGAATTCTTAAAACATCACTTTACACATATAAGCATCGCATAAGGAAGTCCCACCACCTGGACCATAGGGACCCTGGCTTTGGGGGCCAAGCAAAGACCCTGTTTCATTTCTCTCCCTGGTTGCTATTTATAAATAATAAGATATTGGGTTCTAATGCCAGAGCCCCAAGCCTCATCTGGGCTTTTTAGTGTCCACTCTCTGCCGTCCTTCACAGATTTAGATGTGATACAGCTAATGAATCAGTTAACCTGAAGTTGACTTCCCCCAAACCTCTTTTCTTTGACTGCAGGAAATTGAACGGTTAGAACACAAGTTGAACCAAACCCCAGAAAGGTGGCAGCAACTATGGGAAAAAGTGAGCGTGACTCTTAAGGAAGATACAAGACAAGACCAGGTAAGTGGGTTCACGGTAGTACTTTCATGTATCTACCATCTTCTGGACCATCATTTTTCAGGTCTCTACATGTGAGGCTTTTGATGCGAGGCAGCCTGAGCTCTGGAGTCCATCACAGAAATATTCTGAATAGTCATAACCTGGCTTCTGCACAGAGAGGACCCAAGAGACACAACTGCATGAGTGTCTCACATTGCCAGGTGTCCTTATGCAAGCAGATCATGTGTGTTTCACTGATCCATTCCTGTTGTCAATAGTCATGTATCATATGCCTATTATGTGTAAGGCAGTATGCTAAAAGTAGGGCAGCTGGGTGGCACAGTAGATAGAGCAGTGGCCCTGGGTTCAAATCCAGCCTCCCACACTTACTAGCTGTGTGACTCTAGGCAAGTCACTTAACCCCAATTGCCTCCACACACACAAAATAAAATAAAAAATAAAAGTAATAGGGGAGATACAGGTGTAACTACAAGAGATATGGGCATTGCCCTCCAGGAATTTACATTGTAGCAGAGGATGTCTAAACTAGATATGCATGTGTGCATGTGCTAACAGATGATGAGTCCATATTAAGAGTCCATATGAGATGAGAGAAGAAGCACTCCCTTCCAGCTGCAGGGGACCAGGGAAGGCCTTGCCTCACGAAGGAGCCAGCATTTCTGCTGAGCCTTGAAAGATGGGTGGATTTCCCATCACCTCTCTACAGTCTGGCTTCTGTCCTCATCAACTGAAATTGCTCTCTGTAGAGTTACTAATGATCCCTTCTTTGACACATTAATGGCCTTTTATCAGTCTTCCTTCTTCTTGAACTCTCTATAGCCTTTGACACCTCCAGTCACCCTCTTGTCCTTGATATTCTCTTCTCTGTAGGCCTTCAGGACACTGCTCTCTCCTGGTTCTCCTCCCACATGTTTGACCATTTCTCAGCCTCCTCACTAGATCTTCATCCAGGTCGTGCCCCTTAAATGCAGCTGTCCCCAAGGTTTGGACCTAGGCCTTCTCTTCTCCCTCTATACTGTTTCACTTGGTGATCTCATCAGTTCCCATGGACTCAACTATTATCTCTGTGCAGATGATTCTCAGATTTATTTGTCCAGCCTTAACCTCTCTACTGACCTTCAGTCTGAAATCTCCAACTGCCTGTTAGCTATCTCCTGTTGGTTGTCCCAGAGACATCTTAAATTCACCATGTCCAGAACTAAACCCATTATCTTTCTCTCCAAAACCTGATCTCTTCCTAACTTTCCTATTACTGTGAAGGGTCCCAAAATCCTCCCATGCACCCAGATCCCCAACCTAGGTGTCATCCTCAACTCCTCATTTACAGCCCCCATAATCAGTCAGTTGCCAAGTCCCATCATTTCTACCTTCCTAACATCACTCACATACACTCCCTTTTCTCTTCTGACACTGCCACCACCTGGTCCAGGTCCTCATCATCTCAAGTCTGGGCTATTGCAGTAGCCTACTGGATGATCACACTGCTTCAAATCCATCCTATGCCCTACCCCAGTCAATCCTCCACTCTCCTGTCAAATTGATCTTCCTAAAGTACAAGGCTAACCTTGTCACCCACCACCATTCAGTCTATACCAGTGATTCCCTTCTCCCTTTAAGATCAAAGATAAAATGCTTTGTTTACCTGATAAGTCCCTCTATAACCTGGTCCTTCCACCTTTTCAGTCTTTTTACACTCTTCATATCCTTTGTCATCCAGTGACACTGGCCTTCTTGCTGTATCTCCCAACTCCAGGCATTATCGTTGGCTGTCCCCTGTGTCTGGAGTGCTCTCCCACCATCTCCACCTCTTATGCCCCATGGCTTCCATCAAGTCAAAGCCAAAGTCTCCACTTCTGCGAGAAGGTCTTCCTCATCCCCTATCATAACAGTGCCTTCCCTCAGATAGTCTCTCAAATTCATCATGTCTGTATCTTGTTTGTAGGGAGTTTTTTGCATGTTGTCTCCCTGCTATACTGTGAGCTCCTTGAGAACAGCAGCTGTCTTTTGTCTTTCTTTATATCTCTAGCCCTCAGTACAATGCCTGGCATATAGTAAGTGCTTAATAATTGTCTGTTAACTGACTGACTCTGTTGAGCTTTTAAAGGCCTTCACTACTTATTTCCAATCAATTTTTCCAGTCTCAGTGTGTATTACTTCCTCATCCACACTCTCAGTCTAGCCAGCCTAGCCTTAGAATCAAGAAAACCTATGTTCAGCTCCTGCATGTGGCACTTATTAGCTGTATGACTATGGTCAAACCACTTAATCTCTGTGAGCCTCAGTTTCCATATCTATAAAATGGAAACAGTGGTATCTACTTCCCTGCATAAGACTGTTGTGAAGCCACAGTGAGTTAATGTACAAGCTGTAAAGTAATATATGAGTGTCAGTTGTTGTTATTGTCGTCTGGTAGACATTCAGTAAACAGTCATTAAGCCAAAAAAGGTTCAGAGGAATATGAAATAATGTCAGATGTTGTTGTGAATACTGACTCTGCAGGTAGAAGCTCTGGGTTAAGAATCTTGTCTCTGATACTTAGAAGTCGTATGACCTTTGGCAAGTCACTTAATCTTCTGAGCCCTCAGTTTCCTCATCTGTAAAATAGAAAGGATGGACTAGATAGTCCCTGAGGTCTTGTCTAGATCTAAATCTACAATCTCATGAGAGGTATTAGAAAAAAAAGGAGGCCATTGGATGTTGTAAAATGAAGTCATTGGTAACAATCTCATTGCTTTGCATATAGTAGGTACTTAATATGTATTTGTTGAAATGAATTGAATTCTCTCCATTTGGGATCCAAAAACTACTAATAGGGGTGGGTAAAGGCTTCCCTGGTGGTGGTATCCTAGGAACAGGATGCATGTCTGTAGCCTCAAGTTTTCCAGCAAGCTGTTGAGTTTTAGAAATGATTTTTTCAAAATGTTCTAACTCACTCTTGATTGGCGAAATGCAAATTAAATAATTCTGAAGTACTACCTCATACCTATTAGATTAGATGATAGGACTGAAAAGGAAAATGACAGATGTTGGAGGGGGTGTGGGAAAAATGAACCATTAATGCACTGTTGGCAGAATTATGAACTGATTCAATCATTCTGGAGAGCAATTTGGAACTGTGCCCAAAGGACTATAAAACTATTCATACTCTTTGTCCTAGCAATACCACTTCTAGGTCTGTATCCCAGAGGAGATTAAAAAAAAACAAAAAGGAAAGGGTCCTATGTGTACAAAAATATTTATAGCAGCTGTTTTCTGATGGCAAAGAGTTGGAAATTGAGGGGATGCCCGTCAATTGAGGAAAGGCTAACCCATTGTGATATGTGATTATGATGAAATACTATTGTGCTATAAGAAATGATGAGCAGGATACTCTAGAAAAACTTGGAAAGACTTCCATGAGCTGATGCAAAGTGAAATGTACTGTATACAAAGTAACAGCGATATTGTAAGGTGAGAAGCTGTGAATGACTTAGCTATTCTCAGTGGTACAGTGATCCAAGACAGTTCTGAAGGACTTAAGATGAAAAATGCTATCTGTCCCCAGAGAAAGAATCAAGGCGTCTGAATACAGATTGGAGCATACTTTTTAACTTTATTTTGCTTGAGGTTTTTTTGTCTATGGTTTTTTTTTTCACAGCATGACTATTATGGAAATATTTTGCATGACTACACATGTATAACCTATATCAAATTGCTTGCCTTCTCAATGAGGGAGGGGGGAGGGAGAAGGAGGAAGGGAGAAAATTTGGAATGCAAAGTTTTAAAAACAAAAGTTAAGAATTGTAGAGTGCTTGTTGTGTGGCGAGCACTGGACTAAGTAGTAATGACACAGGGCCTTCTGTTCAGCAGGTGGAGGCAGCGTGTGTCGGGTGCACGGCCTCAACAGGACGCAGCGTGGATGGGGAACTGGGGGGGAGATATTGAACAAATTTCTAAGAATTTCATTAGTTGTAAAAAAAATTCTTTTTCCAGCTTGCTATCCAAGGTGGACTAAAAAATGTGTTTTATGTTTTCAGCCCCGGAGACACCCTTCTAGCTCCTCAGGAATTGTGACCACCAACTTACACTCCTATCAGAAGAGATCTCTGCTTCACCTGCCTGACAGTGGCCTGGGGGAAGAACAAAATGCCAGCATCTCTCCATCCAATGGAGTGGACCGGAGGGCAGCCACACTCTACAGCCAGTTTACTTCCAAGAATGATGAGAACAGGTGACACACAGGGTCCTCTCCAGTTTCCCTGCCACCTAGAGCGTGTGTCCCTGTGGTCATCGGCATAGGCAAGGAGGATGCTCATCTCTGTGTCCCTTTTCTTCATTCCTCTCTATAGCTAACTCAATTTGTCTTTCTTTGTGGAATTGCCTGCTATTTGCCAGGCAAAAAGTCGTAGGATGCATTTCTGTTTTACTGAATGTTTGATTAACTTTGGCATAGATGAAGGTTTTATATACTTCGGTGGATCTGTGATCTCATTGGTGTGGACACTGCCTCCAGTGGGGTAGGTCATCGCCCACCCACACCTTCTCCTGCTGTCCTGCTTTTTCCTGTGTTCTCTGTAACTCCTCCCCAGGGGCTGACCAAGTATCTGGGGTCCTTCTAGTGGTCTCAGCATTCTGTGAGTACCAGTGCAGCACTAAGACTCTGCCTCTGTTATCCCTTACTGGTGCTACAGAATTGGTCAGAACACGCCCCACACGTGTTGTCTCTTTCCGTTGAATAGAAAGTCCTGTGTAATTAGTGCTTATTCCAGTGCTGGCCACATAACAAGCACTTCACAAGTGCCTTTTCATTCATTCGTCTGTCCCGCTACATACATTATGTTTTGGACAGTGAATAGTCTTCATCAACTTGATTCCCTCATGAGTGGTGAGGATGCACACTTTGGAGTAGCTGTGACTCTTACTTACAAGGCTCTTCAGTGTCCTAGGGCTTGTTAAACTTTTTCCAGTCACGGCCCTTTCAGTGCTTCTTAAACTGTGGATCAGGACCCCATGTGGGTCACGCTGGGGCACAGTGTGATCTGCAAACAGGAGCATCTAAAGATATCGCCGTTTATAGAGAATTGCTCTCTCTCCGTTTGCGTCCTGCACGGACATTCTCTGTGACAGTGGAAAATCCCCAGTTTTGTGCTTCACTGAATATTACTAAACGAGCAAGTTGTCAAAGTTACCTCTCCTGTTAGGTCCATCAAGAATCTCGTATCATCCTAATGTCGGCATCAGAAATACCTTTAAACAGCTTTTGGAGCAGAGCCTTTAAGATTACATTTTTCCTCTACCAAACCAAATCCTACAGGAGAATGGTATTCACTGTAGAATCTTGTGTTTTCAGCCAATTGGGTAAAGGTGTGGTTTGCTATAGAATTTCATTTGCAAAAAATTGCCTATTGCTTTCTCATGTTCTTATCAGAGATGCTTGTCCTTTGTGTAGATAACTCTGATGACAGTTTCACAAAGATGGAAAAGTAGGTATATGGATTGGTAATTGTTCATGTCCTCTTTCTATCACCTTTTTTCTGTAGTTGATTTTTTTTTCCCAGTCATTTTGTATGTTCCCCTCTTGTAAATATCTGGGGACTCAATCTCTCAGTGCTTTCAAAACTATGTTCCTTGTATCATGGTCCTCTTCTTTATATTATACTTGGTCTAATTTGGCATATTTCCTTTAGCATTATTTCTCTTTAACGGAACACACTAGGGACTATCATGTTAGGAAGGGTTTTCAGAGTCTAAATGTGGTGGTTCCACTGTCACTGAGGGAGGAAATTGTTTGTTGATGGATCTTTTCCATTTTTGTCTTTTTATCATCCTCCTTCCAGTTTCCTCTTTAAATAGATGTAGGATGATCTGTCTTAATTAGACCTCAAGCCAACCATTCTGCAAACTTATTTTTTCTAAAGTTACTTCTCACTCTTTTGTGAAGTGATTTTTGCTTATAATCTTCCACAATCTTCATCCTTCAGATTTGAAATTTGGTAACTGGGCATCTGTCTAAGCCTGTGTTGCCCTTGGTTACCACCTCTCTCTACCTGGCAGAGATCAGATTTCTGTCTGAGGCTGTTCCTAGATTTTTTTGGCCTCCTTTTGGTGGTTAATTTAACCTTTGCAGTGGTTAAATTTCCATGAGCAATGGTGATTGTCTACAAAGATATCTGTTCCTTTATCTATTTCCCATTATAAAAAAATCAGTAGATTGTTTTTCAATGTAGGCCTTATGTTTTCATCTTACCTTTTTATTTGGTGTTTTGATCTCTTCTTTAACAAGTTCTTGGCCTGTCTGACACAGACAGATGATTTGGGGATTATTCTCACATTGGTAACCAGTCAATTCTTGTCTCTTAAGATGTGATCAGTTTGGGGCAGCTAGGTGGAGCAGTAGATAGAGCACCGGCCCTGAAGTCAGGAGTGCCTGAGTTCAAATCCGGCCTCAGACCAAACACTTGACACTTACTAGCTGTGTGACCCTGGGCAAGTCACTTTAACCCCAATTGCCTAAAAAAAAAGAAAGAAAGAAAGAAAAGAAAGATGCGATCAGTTTAATTTTTTGTGATATTATTCATTGTTTAATATGTCTGACTCTTATTCAAGAGAAAGTATACATGCCATGTAGTTGTGAGGCTTCTGTGTAGTCTACAAGCCTTTGGCCTTTTTTTGTTTCATTTTCCTGATCTGTATTTTCCAACATTTTTCCACCTTCCTCCTTTATTCCTACCTTTACATTGGAGCCACTGAGCATAAAGTAAATGTTGATTTAATTAGAAGTCCTTATCAAATTAATTTTAGAATTTGGAGTCAGAAGACCTGCCAGGCTCATATGCCAGTTTGGTCACTCGCTAGCTGCGTAACTTGGCAGAGGTCCCTCTGCCTCTTTGCACTTCAGTTTCCTCATCTCTAAAATTGTGAGATTGGACAGCCCCGGGGTGAGCCGTACCCGCAGTCAGAAGCAGCCAGACAAAGCACAGAGCCGGAGCAGAGAACATCAGCGCCTGCACCTTAGGTTTCCAGGGGAGGGAGAGAGGCCTAGGCGTGGCCGAGGCCTTTCTGCTCATCTCCTCAACTTCCATCCTGCCAGGTCTTTTGAGGGGACGCTGTACAAACGAGGAGCTCTGCTGAAAGGCTGGAAGCCCCGCTGGTTTGTGCTGGATGTGACGAAGCATCAGGTAACACTTCCTTCCCATCTCCTTGACAGGGCTGTCCTATCAGGCTGAGTAGCCCCTGGACGATTACTGGAGTGACCAGATGATGTGTCTGCCTGCTGCAGGGCACACTCATGCTCACACATGCACATGCTCGTTATTCCTTTTTGTCCCGGTGATCGCAGACCCTCCGCCCATGTCAATAATCATCAGTTTCATAAGGTGCTGTGGCTGGTCTGCATCCTTGAAGGGAAGGTCAGTGATGAGATCCCAGCTCTCCTAGAAATAGCAGCTCCATTTCTGCAGGGCTTTAGAGGGTGCATAGCACTGCCCTCACCACCCTTGGCAGAAGCTGTGATTAACCCTTGTGGTTATAAGAAGATCAGGGTTCACTTGTGTGGCTCCAGTCCCTGCCTTCCTCACCTCCTGTGATTGGCCTCATCCAGCCCCCACTGCACAGCCCTGCTCTGTACTTTGTCCTGAGATTGTGTGGCCCCCACAATGACGAGTCAGAGGACACCTTGGAGGGCAGAGATGGAACAGGCAATCTGAGTGGGGGAGAGTGGGCTTCAGTAGGGGCTGGTGTCCTCTAGTGCAGGGGCTTCAAAATGACCTCGGTAAGGCGGTCCGTCCCTAGAGAGCTATGGCGTGTGTGATCTCACACTCACCACTCCTGCTGTACTCTGGCATCCTTATTAGTGGGGGCCACATGTCCAGCTGTCCTTGGTGACAGGATGGGCAGTGGGGCAAAGTGGAGAGTTCTAGATGGGGGATCATCGCTTCTTTGTTGGGTCCTCTGGCTATCCCTTTGCTGCTCTGGCCTTGTCTTTAGAGAAGGAGCTTGGATCAGATGATCACTGAGACCCCCTGCAGCTGCCTAGCTTATATGGCCCTAGAACATGCCCTCTGCCGCAGGTAGGTGTGGGGATGGAGCAGTCCCTCCCAAGTCTCCAGCCACTTCTGTACCACCCTGCAGTCCGTGCCATGAGGAAGGCCCCCTGAGTACTAAGGGGATTGCCCTTTCCCAAGGCATCCTGTCCTCATCCATAAAACTGAAGCACTCTTTTTTTTACAGTCTGGTGAGAAAGGCTTGATATCCACAATGCCATATCTCCACATTATGTGAATGTGCCAGATGCACACCAAAGACCCACAGTCTTTCATTGTGTGAGAGTGTTCCAGTCTCCAGGTGCCCTGGGGACCTCTGCTAGGACCATGTTGAGACTGCCTCTGCCTTTGCTCCAAGAGTTTGGCAGAGGTCATGCTTTTGGCAGAGGAATGTAGAGAATGTGCTTTCAGATAGGCAGAGGGCAGCCCTTTTGATGGACTTAGAAATGTCATGGAAATCCTGGTGTCTGCAGAGCAGAAGAGAACACCATCCGACCACTAACCACAGGAGAAGACTGTCATGTTGTAACCATAATTAACAATTACATGAAATTATACTCACATTTTTTGCTGATCATTATAAGTTCTTGAAAACCCAAGAACACAGACTTTTCATTAGTCCCACTGATCCCAGGCCAGGAAGGTGGCCACAGGGAACATAAAGGAAATTCTGGGCCCAGCAGTAAAAGACAACAGTGGAACTAGATGTGAAAAGAAGCCAAGGCATAGAGCCCAGGATCAATGGTAGAGTCGTCCATTGCCCGCCTGAGTGAGGAGGGTCCTCAGAGGCACCCCCTCTAACACCCCAGACCAGCTCTCATCCAGCCTGTGTTTGGATTGCTGGATCGAGTCTCACCCCTGGCAGAGTTTTAAACAAAACAGAAAATGTTGCCTCCCAACACTGACTTGGGCCCTTGATATCCTTGGATTCAAGATACATAATCCTGGGCCCCTTGGAAGGGTGGGAGCGTCGGAGGGGTGTGAGTGGACCAACTCAGAGGTGATATAAATCCACTTGTCAAGGCACATTAGAAGTGGGTCTGCTTTGGTAGAGCCCAGCAGGTGTTCTCCCTGCTGACACTATCTTAGACCTAAAGAAAGAAGAGACCTTAGAGGACATCCAATCCAGTCCTCTCGTTTTCCAGACCTAGAGAGCTGAAGTGTGAAGCCCAAGGTTAGACTGGTGGCAAGTATGAGGAGGGTAGGGTTTGAACCCAGGTCCTTTTGAGCCATTGCTCCTTCCGCTGTACCACACTGCCTCAGGATCACAGCTTCTTTGCGCCATCACATATATTTAGACCAGATGATCCTCCACTTTTGTTCACATGTATTTAATTCCTTCCCTTTGTCTCCTGCATGTTCTAGTTGAGGTACTATGATTCTGGTGAGGACACAAGCTGTAAAGGGCACATTGACTTAGCTGAAGTGGAAACCATCATTCCAGCAACCCCAACTATGGGCGCCCCAAAGCATGCCAGTGACAAAGCCTTTTTTGATGTAAGTACATCATGCCTTTTGAGTTCCTTCTGAAGCTAGGAAACATTCTTTCCACATATATTTTCATGCTTCCAGGGTACCAAGAACAGTGTCACACACCTGCTAATTTAGGCCTGGGTGGCCCACATGCAGCCTAAAGGCCAGAGGGGTCTTACTTGGCCCCCAGGTGTAGCCCACTTGAAATATTTAGCAAACAAAAATTTTAGCTAATTAACAAACATTTTTGTTCCCAGGGGCTCGGAGGGCCAGATCACCCACTCTTGATAAGCACTACCCCTGGGTGTCATGGGAACGAGCTGGGATTTAATTCCATTAAAGTGAAATGTCAGTAATTCTATAATTAAATCCTTGTCACACAAGTCCAGGGATTTCAGATCTCTGATATCTGGGAGTACTGTTGTGAAAGGTAGAACTGCTCCTGCCTGAGCCAAGAGAGCTGTCTCAGCCAGCCCTGCGCTCTGTCCTTCGCCTCTACACTAGTGGCCGCTTGGCTTTCGGACAGTCTGAGCAGGTGGCATATTATTAACGTGCAAGAACAAACATACTTTAAGGGGGAGGTGCATGGCTGTGAACTCGTTGACATCCAGCTCAAGTTCCCTGAGCCATTGCTGCGTCTGTGAAGATAAATTTTTCCTTATCCTGTCTTCACCACAGACTTTTTTTCGTTGGGTTTATATCCCATTTTTCTACCTTCCATGGATGAAAATGAAATCGACCCATTTCTCTGAAATCACTCACTATCCCATCAGTTTATCCTGAAGAGCAACAATTGGTCTTTATTTTCCCTTGTCTTATGTCCAGGCTTAGTCTGCACAGTAAGTCCACTAGTAGAAAAATGACTCCCTAGTTGTGTCAGGCCTCCCTAAAGACCAGGCTTCCCAGATCTGTTCTTCCCTAAGTTTCTGGGGGATTTCTTGGGAGAGCCCAGCCCCCTGCAGCTGATGAAAAGGGCATATAACGGACAGGCAGTCACCACCACAACTTATGGCAAGACCCTGGTCAGTGCATTTCTGCTCCTCAGCCCTCTTTCCCCTTCATCCCTATCCCTTCCTGCTCTGACCAGGCAGTCTTTTTCTAAGAGCAGATACTCTGGTAGGAGAACCCATAGCCCTGCTCCCGGGGAGCTGCCTTGTGTCCATCCCTTCGGACCACTGACAGTATTTCTTACTTGGAGAACTGAAAAGAGCAGTGTTTATAGGAAGTCACATCAGAGGTATGGAGGGTAAGAAAGTGATTGTGCCTAGTGAGAGTCAGAGGAACCAGAAGAGTTAGCAGAGCAGAAATGACCTCTGGGCGAGATGCTGTTGACAGCTGACTAAGCCAAAGCGGAGCAGGCTTAAAATCATCACAGTGTTTGACTCCTGCCCTGGCAAAAAGCCCCCAGGGAGTCTTCCTTCTCATCTCTGGTGTTTCTGTTTCATTGTGTAGCTGAAGACCAGCAAACGCGTGTATAACTTCTGTGCCCAGGACTCACAAAGTGCCCAGCAGTGGATGGACCGGATCCAGAGCTGTATTTCTGATGCCTGACCAGACCCCCTCTGGGATACAGGAACGAGAAGGAGGCCTTTGGCTGCACCAATGGGAAAGGTCACAGGAGAGACTTTGGGAAGCACCAGCACCAAGAAATAGCTCTCTCTCCCCTTGAGCCAGCCTCACTCACTGTGTAGATCTCTAGTCTAACTCGCTTCCCCAGACTACTTCCCCCAGTTGTGTTTGTCACATGGAGCCTGCTTGGGTCTGCAGTAAGCTGTACTGACGGGGCAGCGTGTACAGCCCAGCCTCCTTATGCCATGACAGCAATCTGGGGCCAGCCCAGGGGGGATTTTGGAAACATCTGCCTGGGTCGCTATTTACTTGGCAGAGCCAATGGTTTTGCAAGCAAAAGTAGAAAACCTCTGGTACCATCCATCCTTAGTTGGAGCAGTCATTGCCATCAGGCCTGATGCAGATATTTCATGGGCTACATCCCATAGCCAGCTGCTGGCTGTGCCAGGTGTGGGCTGTTTTCAATACATGCTGAGCTTACCAGCTTTGGTGGGACTGAAGGAAGAGACAAACCATGTGACCCTGCCAAGAGATTTGACCTCTGGGGAAATGGGAGAAAGATTAGTCTTCAAATGTATAGACTCTAAAAGAAATTGCTTTTCCAAGGCTGAAAGAAAGAATGCTCTTTGCATGCTCTTCTGCTCACTCTCAACTTGTATTCACAAAGTAACACAATGATAAATGCACTAAACAATAAAGCAGGGCTAGGCCTGGAAATCCTCTCAGTGCAGCCACGTGGGCAGGCAGGAGTGTGCCACCACGGTCGTGCCATGTCCCGCCATGTGCCTCCGAAACAAGCCTCAGAGAAGGGGACAGGAAGGAGAGGCAGAGCCCAGGAGGGTCATCACAGGCTGGAAGGTGGGATTGGATGTTGAAGGCAACAATTTTTGCACATAAATTGTAAGAACAATTTTAGATTTTTACATTTGAAAACATTGTGTTTATTAAACTTAAAGCTACAGAGCAAATACCCTTCCCCTTGTCAGCAGGGAGCTAGAGCATCGTGTCTTGTTTGGAAATGTTAATATGTGAAATATCAGACTAATATTTCAAAGAATCTGTATATATGATTTAGTACATTCTGATTTTTTCAGACTTCCTGCTTGTAATTTAATATAAAACTAACCAAACTGATTCACTCATAGGATTTTGTTTATTCCATGGGTCCTTCTTCTAAGAAAAACCACTCTCTTTGGGGGCTGAAGATTAAGAGTAAAATGTCCAATTTCAAACTGTATACATACCAGGAAAAAAAGAGTTGTCTTAATATATAAGGAATTGGGGGGGGAGGCAGGAGACAATAGGAATGAAGGACTTTTCTGTCATTTTCAGTTTATACACCTCCACCTGTGAAAATGGCCGTTGCACATAATTTGTATTTTTCTTTGTATATGAAGTACTTTTTTATGTACTTTGTAAGATATGGACCCCATCATTTCATAGGTTGAAACTGTGCACAACACTCTTTGGTAATGAGGTTATTTTAACAATTTTATGTAGGTGTGACATGACTTTATAACCATCTTGTAATAAACATACTTCTTAAAAAAGCACAATCCCTCCTTTCCTGGGGAATCCAAGCCCGGCCTGGCACTCTCTGTTTTACATGCATAGAGTAATGGGGTTAATAGGTTTAGGATTCAGATATGGGCTGAAACCCAAACAGGGAGAGCCTCCTGACTGAGGAGGCCATTTTCCCAGCAGCCTGTGCAGCATGCTGACTACCAGACACATCCAGCTGGCAGTCCCAGCAGCATCTCAGCATGTCCAGTCCTGCTGCTTTCCCAACTTCCCTGTTTCTGCTGGTGTCATCACATCCTTCCAGTAACCCTGATTCAGAACTTCACAGCCATCTGTGACTTCTTCTCACCATTCCCTCCCCAGCTTTCTGTTTCTGAAACTCCCTACACCCTAGTCCAGATCTTCATAATTTCTTACCTAGATCACTAATTCAATTAACCACCATTAAATGCCTCCCATATGCAAGACATGATGCGAGGCAATGGGGCTAAAGCTCTAGAGAAGCAGGGTTGGCAGCACATGGAGGTTACTGTAGACACATAAATAAATGTTCAGTAACTCAATCATAATAAAACATAACCATAATCTGAGCAGAAGAAAAATACAATGTACTATGAGAGATCGGAGGAAGGAAAGACCATTTACAACTTACACAGTATGGAAGGGAAGAGAGAAAAGATCAGGAAAGGCCTCATGGAGGTAAAGCTGGATCCGACCTTGGAGATCATCTAACCAACCCCCTCATCTTCAAGATGAGCAAGCCAACACTATGACTTGTCCAAGGCCACACAGTCAGTAAATAGCAAAGCTAAGCTTCAAACCACATCCTCTGACACAAAATCCAGGGCTTTCTATACTATACTACACTTCACTGCCTCTGTTGTGCTGGCTCTTCAACCACAGACAGAATTTCAAGATGCAGAGATGAAGAAAGGACCTTCAGGTATAAGCAAAGACCCTGAGAAAGGAAAACATTGGATGTATACAACGAACTGTTGCAGCAACCACCAAGGGGCTCTGTTATCTTCTCTCCCCAATCCATCCTCTGTGCACCAACAGAGTAATCGCCCAGGTTCTAATAGTATGAGCTGTCTTCCTTAAAAACCTTCAGCAGCTTGTCGATGGAAGGATGAAGTCCAAATTCCTGAGGCTGGCATCCAAGGCCTTCAGTGACTTGTTTCCAACCTAGCTCTCCAGCTTTATCTCAGTTTGTGGAATCTCTGAGCTACAGGGGCTCCAGGGTCATCTAGTCCACCCTTTACTTCACCAAAAACCCCCTCTGCAGCACAGCCAACACTGGCAAGCCTTTATACAGACTGCTCCTGAAGGAGACCCTACCACCTCTTGAGACAACCTGATCCGCTTTGGGATAGCGCTCATTGTCAGCAAGTTTTTCCTTACATCGAGCCTTCAAATACTTGAAAATAACAATCATGCCTCCACCTTAAGTCTTCTCTTCTACATGTTAGACATCACCAGGGCCTTCCATCAAGCTTCATGGGATAGGATTTACAACAGGAAATAACTGGTCGCTGGAGCAAAAATGATAAGAATCTTAGGGGAAAGGACTCTACTGTCTTGGAGTTTGCGTTAGAGAAGAGGAAAGCTAGGAATAGTCCAACGTGCTCCAAAGGTCTTGGGAGATTAAATTACAAAGAGTGCCAGAAAATGTAGATAGCAATGCATGGACTAAAATTCCACAAGAAACTCTCAAGAATGTAATTCTGAAAACACAAAAGCCGTTCCAATGAGGAGGAAGAGGGGAAGTTGTCCAAAGATAGAAGACAGAGACAGAAAGAGGAGAGAGGGAGATGTGCAGGCACAAGCACCACAAGTGTTTATTAACTGCTCACAGGGCCTGTGGATACAAATACAAACAATCAAACCAACACCTGCCTTCAAGGACCTTACGTTCTAATAGAAGATGACAAATAGAAAGGAGAGTTGAAAATCTGGGAAGGTCTAAAAGGAACAATGCAAATACGAAAGCAACTCCCTAGCCAATTTAGATTTTTTTAAAGACCCGTACAAAATATGGAAGCAAGATTAATTAACCAAGGATAAATACTAAAGAATGACACCCACCTGTAAAAGTCAATAATGCTAAAGCTAAGAATGTAGGAAAACTGACAGGGAAAGTAAGGACAACAAAAGGCAGGAAAACTGTGTTGTAGAAAATCAATAGAAAGGATAAGATGCTTTTTAAGAAGGTAAAAAAAAAGGATGAGATGGTAAAAGTTCAAGTCACTTTACCTAGGTGAACTACATGTTAAAGTTTAAAATATAATGGAGAATAGGAAGAGACAGCAGAGAATTAATTGTCAATATCCCACTTTCAAGAAAGGGAAGAGAATGGAACCTGCAAACTCTAAACTGATGAGCTTGATTTTTATTCCAAACAAAATTCTAGAACATATTAAAAAGATGGTTAGTGGACATTTAGAAACAGAAGCAGTAGTCACAAAAGGCCAGCATGGCTTCACCAAGAATAGGTCATGCCAAACTAATTTTCTTTTTCTTTTGGCAAGATTGCTAAACTGACAGATAAGAATGCTGTCAATCTTTATCTAGATTTTAGCAAAGAATTTGGTGAAGTCACTCATTCTGTTCTTGTGAGAGAAAAACAATGGAGAGATGTAAGCTAGATAATTTGGGAGATGCAGAACTGATTGAATTGCTGGATCCAGAGTATTTCAGTATCAGCTTGGAAAATGGCAGCATACAATAACAGATTGAGTGCTGGGTTTGGAGCAGAGAAGACCTGAATTCAAATTCCCCATCTGACTCTAGATGTGTGACCCTGGGTAGGTCACTTAAACCTCTGTTTGCTTCAGGCAACTCCTTAGGACTTGTCTATCAACTTGTAGATGGGTTTCAATTTGAGTTCCCTCCACATTGAGTTACCTACATTGATTAAATCACAGCTCCTTCTCATTTTTTCCCATTAACTTGAAAGGACTTCTCCAGTGAAGTGAACAGGGATATGTGATTGGCTTTGTACTACTAGGCAGCTAGGTGGTACATTAGATAAGAATATTGTATTGTTGTTAGGAAGATCTGAATTCAAATCTTGCCTCAGCCACTTATTAGCTGTGTGATCCTGAACAAGTCATTCAGTTTCCTCATTTGTATAATGGGGATGATAATAGCACCCACCTTCCAGGGGTGTTGTGACGATAAAATGATTAACATGTTCAATACTTGGTAAACCTTAAAATGCTATATAAACACTAGCTATTATTGATTATTACCATTATATATTGTTATTAATGACGTGGATAAAAACATAGATGGAACACTGATGAAATTAGCAGATGACACAAATCTGGGAAGGACAGTAACATACTAGGTAACAGTGTCAGGATCCAAAAAGACCTCAACAGGCTGAAACAATGGACCTAATCTAATAGGATGTGATCTAGTAGGGATGAATGTAGAGTCTTATACTGGATTCAGAAAATCACAAGCTCAGTATGAGTCAACATTGTGGTATTGTGCCCTAGGAAGCTAAAGTAACCTTAGGCTGCATTGAGAGGTATAGTGTCCAAGAACAAGTCATAATCCCGCTGTGCTTTGCCCTGGTCAGAATATATTAGGTTCAGCTGCAGGGAGGGGAGGCTGGGAAGGGCCTTGCTTTAAGAAAGATGTTGAGAGAGACCAAAGAGCATCCAGATGAGGGCAATCAGGAAAACGGAGTCTCAAGGTCTTGGTGGAAGGAAGTAGGAATGTTTAGCTTGGAGAAATAAGTGAAAGACATTAGGAAAGACATAATAACTTTCTTGAGGTATTGAAAGGTCCATCCCATGGAAGAGGAATGAGGCTTGTTCTTCTTGGCCCTGGAGGACAGACTAGAAGCAAGGAGGGGCTGGGGAGATGGCAGAAAGATAGATTTTAGGTGTGATGTCAGGAAAAACTTCCCAGTAATTAGAGCTACCCAAAAGAATGGGTTTTCTCGGGAGGTAAGGGGTTGCCTCTCTTGAAGCTCTTTAAACAAAAGCGCCCCCCTTCGGGTATGCTGCAGCAAGCGCAGAATCCTGGGGACTGTGTGACTGACACACCTTTGTTCTGCTGAGACCACTGGCCAGAAGCTTGGCCTTGGGAGCCACACTCATTCTGCCAGAGTTGCTTGGGCCAGAGCAGCAAATAGCCTCCCACTTTCTCTCTTGTGTTGCTTTCCAGGGGGCACCATTAGACTACGTTATTCTAGCAGTGTTGTGTCTTCACGAGGAATTTCACTGGGAAATTCCAGCTGGTTGGGCTTTTGACCCTTTGTTCTGATTGAGTCGAGTCTGCTTGGAATGTCAAAATTTTTACCTTTCAGTGACCTTTGACCAGAATGTGGCTGGAGGAGAAGTAGAGTCAAGATGGTGGAGAAAAGGCAGCAGCTCACCTGAGCTCTCCCCAAAACCTCTCTGAACACCTTGAAATAATGCCATAAAACAAATTCTGGAGCTGCAGACCCCGCAAAAGCATGGGGTGAAATAATTTTCCAGCCAAAGACCACTTAGAAAGTCAACAGGAAAGGTCTGTTGCACCTAGGTGAAAGTGGAGCACAGTCCAGCACAGGCCACAGCAGCACAGACTCAGCCCCAGGAAACCAGGAGCAGGCCTTGGGAGCCACTGAATTGTAGCCCCACCAGCAGCTTCCGGAGCTCTTAACCCACAAACAGTAAGGGGGTCAAACAGTTGAACTGAAGGAGATTACAGAAGTCTCTTTGCTAGCACTCAGGCAAGACTCTGTTGCTTTGCCCATACTCAGATCTGGGTCGCAGTCCTGGGTGGCAGTCCCAAGGTGAGAAGAAGCACTAGCACACCAAAGCTTGTAGCCACAGTGGAGCAGAGACCTTCCTTATAGTTCCAGGACAGAAAAGAGTGCTTGTGATGGCTCACAGACCATAGCACAGGCCAGGAGAGTAGTAAACACACCTCTCTTCAAATCATACTACCTTAAAAGAACTGACAATTTACAGGTGCCTAAAAGTCTCTCTGAAAACAGCTGCACAAAACCCCGTGAAGTTTGGGACAATGTG